ATCTGTGCTGAATTTCTATTATCTTATCTAGCAAATATACCTTCCATCTACTGACCAGATGTCACCTTGTTAAACATATTTTTGAAAAACATCCAAGCCTCTGAAAGGCAAAATGATTTCCTCGTTGAAATTATACCCATTCGCAAGGTGTGGCTATACTTAACTTCCTTTTCTAAGAGCTATTAGATCCTCAGAGGAAACTAGCAGAAGAAACTCTGCTTCTACCTGAACTATGCTGCTGTTTTTTGTTTTCATGGACCCCTCCAATATAATTCAGGCTTGCTGGCTCTCCCACTTTGAACATCATTCTCCTGATTTTTAAGGTGGCCTGCCTCTCGACAGCTTTGTGGTCTGCTTGGCCTTGATTTTGTTTCTCCTAACAATGTGCTGCAAAATAGTTATTGTGTTAAGCATTTGTTTCTTAAGCAATGTGACCGGCAATCCCATCAATCTGAGCTTGCCACAGTATCAAAACAAATTGCATCGCAAGCTCCTCTGCATGCTAAAATAAGACATGTAAATGATCAACTGCTAGATCAAAGCCAGTTCCTTGCCTGACCTCAGCTCCTATGCAGGTTACTTAATGAAGGCAAATTTTGCTGCAAGTGCAAAACGTAACCGTGTTTACCTTTCACCAACATGTTTAACCTTTACCAGCATGCTAAGGCAAACGTATCTAACTACAGCTATTTTTGATTCTCTCTGTTGAGTGTTTCAGAGGTGGACCCAAGACTCAAGCGACACAAGCTTGAGCTGAAAACAAGAAATCTGGAAGCTGTGCTGCCAATCGACTACAGTGGTACCTCTGGTTAAATACTTAATTCGTTCCGGAGGTCCATTCTTAACCTGAAACTGTTCTTAACCTGAAGCACCACTTTAGCTAATGGGGCCTCCTGCTGCTGCCACGCCGCCAGAACACGATTTCTGTTCTCATCCTGAAGCAAAGTTCTTAACCTGAAGCACTATTTCTGGGTTAGCAGAGTCTGTAACCTGAAGCGTATGTAACCCGAGGTACCACTGTATATGCACAAGAAATTGCTTCATTCTTAGGTCTTAGATTTTTTTTTTTTTTCTTGTTGCTATTTGTGGTTTCAATCCTATTTTATTGTACCCTGCCCTGGGTTCGCTTTTGAGGTGAAGGACAGGCAGACACACACATACACACCCTACACATTTCCCTGGCTTTTCTTCCCCTGCCCCGAATGCCGCATGAACTCAGTCAACCACTGACGTGGCAGCCCCATTGCACAGCCAGAACACATTCCTTCCCCGTGCTGTGGTTTAGTCACACCAGTAGCATCTCCTTCACTCTCATCGCTAACCCCTCCTTCACCCCATTGACTTCAATGGAAACAAAAGTCCCTTGGCAGGATGCGGCAACCTCTGGGGGTTTCCATTGAAGGCAATGGGATGAAGGATATGCAGGGTATGTGTAGCAGTGGACTTCCCTCGTGCATCTGGTGAAGAGGCTTTTGAATACAGGCTAAAGGCAAAGAGTTGCAAAGGGACAGAGGGAAAGACTGTGGCGGCCTGGTCTGGCAAAGTTTCACATGGGAATATGCCTTCTGTCAGATCAGACAGTTTGTCATTTAACCCGGTAGTGTATACTCAAGACTGGCAGTGGTTCTCCAGGGTCTCAGCTGAAGGTCTTTCCCATTATCCTCTACTACAGGGCTGAGGGCCCTTGGGCCCTTCAGGCCTCTCTGTCTGCCCTCAGTGCTCTCCCCAGGCTGCACCCGTGTCGCTCCAGGTGTTTTTGCCTTGATGAAATGAATGCTGCTTCTTGCTTGTCTGAGCAGAACATAGAGAGAAACGTGTGAGTCTCTGTGGAAAGTAACTTACTGTATAAAGGTAACATTTACATGCATTGCTCTGTCCACTTTTGCTGCTGGCCATTGTCATGTGGCCCTCAGCAGGCCACTCAGAAAGGAATTTGGCCCTCAGGATGGAAGGTTTCTCCACCCCTGTGTTACACATTATGAAACCCTCAGCTACTAGATTAAAGCTAAATGCAAACTTTTTATTCTTATTACAGGAGCCAAACAAACTAAGAACAGATGTAGCATGGCCTGCCTCTGTTCCTGCTGGAGAGCTGCCATAATCTCAGCCTCGGAGAGCCAGCCTCATTCAGTGAGAGGCAAAGGTTTCTGCTGCAGCGGACCCACGGCCCTCCTGACTCAGGCGTTTGCTTGGCTTGCTGCTTGTGGGAATGTTTGACACAAAGCATGCCAAGGGAGAAGGATTCCTCCTCCTGCTGCAGTTTACAGGTGTCCTTGCCTCCACCCAGGGTTACTCCCTCCAGTATGAATAAGTTAAACGTGCATCAAAGTCAGGTGCAGCCAGCTTGATCTGCCTTCACTGCAGCTGCCTGCACACCAGACCTTTAAAGCACCTGACTTCCCCTGAAAAATCATGGGACCTGGAGTTTACCCTGACACACAGAGGGAACGCTGTAGTTCCACAGCACCCTTAACAAACTACAGTTCCCAGGATTCTTGGGGAAGGGAGTTATGCACTTTAAATGTATGTGTGCATCTTGCATCTCTGAACCTGCATCATAAAACTGGTAATAAATGGCTACTTCTCTCTCTCTCTCTCTCTCTCTCTCTCTCTCTCTCACACACACACACACACACACACACACACACAAATTCGTGCAAGCGGCCCACTGAGACAGGTATTTATTTATTATTTATTAAATTTGTACACTGCCCTTCATCTGCAGATGTCGGGGCGGTTCACAACATAAAAGCAAAATGGAGGGGGGGGGCGTGAGCCCTGCCAATGCTATCCCACGGCATCTGCTGCCTGGGGCAACTGACTCACTTTGGCTAATGGCAGGGCCGGCCAGCCCCACCCACAGCTCCTACCAGTTTCAGCTTGCCTGTGGGGACTCAGAAGCAGGGTGAATCAGACCGGGTCTGCAGTAAGGAGAGGGCAGTTAACTTGTTTGTGCCCACCACATTCTAAGAAACAAGAGCCACACACTTAACCTAACAAGGACTTTGGCCCTCAAACTTCTTCATTCTCACAGCAAGCCTGAGAGGTAAATCATTACGAGCTTTATTTTCCTCTTTAAAGGGGAAATTGCGAGATGAAGCAATGCAGCTCAGCTTCTATGTATGTTGACTCAGAAGTAAGTTCCACGAAGTTAAGGGGGACTTTTTCAACAGCAAAGGTGTACAGGGTTATGGATTTCTTTCATCTGACTTGATAGCGGCCCTAAGTGACCAGTCAGGGTCCCAGCTATACTGCCCCTTGAAGCATTCATTTCATTTAATGGCATCTATAACAGTAAGCTTGTGGAGGGTTTGGTTTGGGGGATTCTCAGGTCAATTCTGTACTGAATGATACTTGCTCTCAGGCAATAGACACTAGACAAGCAGAAGGAAGGACTTCACTTTCTGGAACCATCTGCACTACCATCTTAATATAAGCTCCTTTGGGATTATCAATAATGTAGCTGAATTTTCCTAAACCGAATTCAACCCTTATGTTTCTATAAAGGTGGGACTCCTCAGGGAGAAGGGCCTTTCCACAGCAGCACTATCTACACGTTTCTTGAAGGCTTGAAAAAATTCACCAGGAACAAATGGATGTTTGTCTTAAATTTTGCACCTAAAGCACACTGTAGGACCTCTCAACACATTGTTGCTTCTGCCTTTCTTCAAATAGCCCATCAAGAAAAAGTACAAGCTAGTCCTGTATCAACTCTGCATTTATACAGTGGTACCTCGGGTTACATACGCTTCAGGTTACAGACTCCACTAACCCAGAAATAGTACCTCGGGTTAAGAACTTTGCTTCAGGATGAGAACAGAAATCGTGCTCTGGCAGTGCGGCAGCAGCAGGAGGCCCCATTAGCTAAAGTGGTGCTTCAGGTTAAGAACAGTTTCAGGTTAAGAACGGACCTCCGGAACGAATTAAGTTCTTAACCAGAGGTACCACTGTATTGGGCGAAGGGGTGGAGGCACATGTCAAAAAATGGTATCTCAAATGAGAGGGGACTTTGCTGTTGCTCACTGTTATAAATGCTATTAAACAGAATTAGTCATTCAACGGGAGGTGCAAGCAGCTCACCATTTGGCCACTTAGTACCAAATTAGATGGGATGAAGGAGATCCATAATAGGCTTTCTTATCTCTTTACTGTAAAAAGCAGCCATAGGGTGCACAAATTCAGGCTTGGCCTGTGCTGCTTGGTTACAATGATTTAGCCCTTCCCTTTTATGCTATTTAACCTGATGGAAATAACACACACACACACACATACACTGCAACTACAATTCGCTCTGTTAGGGAAAATATTTAGTGTATCTTTAGGTACCTGTAACCTGGGCGGATCAGAGACTTTGTGTTCCTGCAGATCACACCGGCTCAAGAGAAAACCTCATTATTAAGATTTGAGTCACGGCACAACCCTGGAAAATGTTCCTAATGCCAAGACTCAATCCTGGGATCTATATGAAGCAACGTCAAACATGGGCAGAGCGCAGCCTGCCCACCAGTGGCACCACACACAAACACATATATTTGGGGTCAATGGGGAAAGCATAGCTACCAAGCAGATGTGAGCCTTGGACCTTTCTTAGAAGTAAAATGCATATGTTCTCTCTCTCTCTATCTGAACCAGGGCCCATTGCACTGCACAGCCCGGCTGTTCCTTATTTTGTGTGAGTTTCACCTTGCAGCGCTAAATGGAGCTTAGGCAGGAAAGAGCAGGGCTGGGCTTCCCAACCCGTGCCAGGACTCTCCAGGGCGCAGCCCTAAGATAGGCTTTTCGTGCCGGGGGCTCGGGCTCGGGGGAAGGTCCCGATCGAGGAAGTTTTTGAGCATGTGCGAAGTGCCTTGTGGATCGGCGCTCAGCCACCCCACTAGGGAACATCTGATACCTTGCACCTCTCCGCCGCCTCCTCGTCGCCCCATCATGTGCGGGGATAGCCTGGCTTCCCTCACCCGCCTCCTTCTCCTCTCTGCGCGCGCGCGCGCACCCAAGCCGCCAGCAGGAGAGGAGCCAGGCCGGGTGGGGAGAGAGAGAGAGAGAGAGAGGGATCACCCTATCACGTTTTGTCGGCGGCGGCGGCGGCTTCGCCTGCTTGTGTGGCCGGGAGCGGCGAGGGCGGGGGCCCGGGGAGAGGCTGAAGCGTTGTCCAACACGTGAGGCTCATGTGATGGAGGGGAAGGCAGGTCTGTCCCTCCCTCCGGTAGCAGCCAGACGTGCCCGGAGTCACAGGGTAGAACACGTAGCTCCAGTCCACCCACTCGCTCACATTTAACCCAGCCTGCAGCCTTCCAATTACTCCTCAGCTCGCCAGCTCCCGCGCGACCCGGTGCAGACGCCCAGCGCTGCCAAGTGGAAGGAGGACATGAGCAACTAAGAGCAGCAACAGCAGCAGCAGCCGACGCCGCTAGCTGATCTCCTGCGCTCTTCCGGCGCCGCTTCTTTTGTGGGTGCCAGGCGCGCACCGTTTGCCGGAGGTGGCGCGTCCCGGCTCAGTCACTGGATCCGCGTTGACACGAAGCAGTGCGTCTGCCAGCCAGCTAACTAGCTTGCCAGCCTCCACCTTACTTCCAGGAGAGAACTTGGGTTGTGGGGGGAAAAAAGGAAATCAAGCCGGTTTAAATGGAAAGGATCCCCAGCGCTCAGCCTCCTCCTCCACCACCACCTTGCCTGGGCAAGCTGGCAGCTCTGGAGGGCAGCGAAATGGCAGGGTAAGTGCCGCTACGGAAGGGTATCCCGGGCAGATTTGTTGATAAATGTTTCAAGGCTGCCATCTCAAACGTCCCATGGAAGCAAACGCGGTTTGCTGACGGGCAGACGTGCCGGGGCTTGCGCTGCGATTCGCTTTCCGAGCCCATCCGGCCGGTCTGGGTCCGCATTAGCAGCCTCCGAATTCCTCCCCACATGGGCACCTACGGGCTTCAGTAGGTTCAGGGGCTGCGTGTGGAGGGGGAGATGGTTGTCCCCTTGGTTATGAGTGATATAACGTTTTTTTTGTCCTCTGCAGGTTGGATTTCGCTCATATTTATCAAGTTTACAAGCCCAGAAGAGGGTTAAAAAGGGGTGACGACAGCAAGGTAAATACAAGCATTTTTCTTCCCTTTTCCTTTTTTGTTTGTTGGCATCTTTGGTTTATGCCCACTTTTGAGATGGTTTAATGCACAGTTTGGGGTCGAATATAAGGAAGTTGTCCTGTGAAATAAATATGAAGGAGCTTGGTGGGTTTCTTTTACAAAAAAAACAACAACACCCCAGTGTGCACAAACGTGTGTTTTTTGTTTTTTTCAGAAGAAATATACTTTTGAAGGGTGGGACGACACTGTTAAGAATATTTTCTTTTTAAGGAAAAACAGTTTTAGTACATAAGATTTACTTCCTTGTCATAACCTAAAATAACCCATTAGTTGTAGCTGTATAAAATACTTTTCTGGGCATGATCAAAATGCATAAATTTTCTGATATAAACTCTGTGGTACTTGGAGGATTTTGCTTCTGCCTTAAAGAAATGTTTCTTCATCCTCCCCACCCCCCTTTATGGCTGCACAGCTTTATGTTTTAGAGCCCCTGAGAAAAGGTTGTCTCCATAGCGCTTAAGAATCACTTTTCATTCGGAGTGATGCAATTGTTTTTCTCCCCTTTTGACTTCCAGGAGACCTATAAGCTGCCCCACAGACTGATAGAGAAGAAAAGACGTGATAGGATTAATGAATGCATCGCCCAGCTGAAAGATCTCTTACCAGAACATCTCAAACTTACAGTAAGTGAAAATCTGGCCACTGCCCAAAATCATCTTCCTTTTGGGGAGCATGTTGGGTTTAATGGATCTTTGTGCAGGTAAAAGTGCCATCTAGAGGTTTTCTGGAGTGCTGCAGATTTAACTGGAGAGGGTTGCATTTCAGGGTTTGGATTGCCACTTCGAGTCTCCTGGTTTTGTTTCCAATGAGATCAGTTTCTCAAGAAATTGCATGCATGGACTGGACCAGATGACACATTGAAATAAACAGGGATTAGATAAAAGATTTTTTTTCTGGACCGTACTGGATAACTTTTAATGTGGATTTGCTAGTGACTCCTTTCTGTATCGTTATGTTTTTGCTTTGGATCCCATGGTTTCAGATAGTTGAATTCCTTTTAGGCTAGCCTTCCCCAACCTGGTGCCCATCTAGAAGCTATTGCGCTCCAACTCCCATATCACCCCTGACCATTGGTCATACTGGCTGGGGCTTGTGAGAGTTGGAATCCAGCAACATTTGGAGGGCACCAGTTTGGGGAAGGCTCGTTGAGACCACAGCTCCAAGCAACCCGTTCTGTGGTATTAAGGACTGCATTGTTTGTTTTTTTTAAGTGACAGGCAGATTGTCTAAATTATTATTCAGGGTTGTTTGGGAAACCAGTGTTGCCTGCTTCAACTATTTGCTTTGCCCTATTTAGTCACAGGAAAAGAAAAACCTTATGTTGGAATTCCTCATTTTACAACTGAGGTGCCAGCAGGGCAGATACATAAAACCTGTGTTTATTATGCAGACACACTTTTTTTTTGGTGGGGGGGACACAAAATGGCCATAGTCTTTTTTTAAGATAATACTTTTTAGCTTATATAATACATAGCTGTCAGTCAGAATAAAAATGAGTGTCACATCATGCTTAGACCCATTCACGTCCTTATCAAGCTCCCCACCCTAAACTGCCCAATCAGTTCTCGGTCTTGTGTTTAGGCTCCTTTTCCCCCCTTTCCAGCCATCCTCTAATGAACCATTTCTCTCCCTTCCTAGACATTAGGACACTTGGAAAAGGCGGTGGTTCTTGAACTTACCTTGAAGCACGTGAAAGCACTAACCAGTCTCATTGAACAACAGCAGCAGCAGATCATTGCCCTCCAAAAAGGTCTACATGCTGGTGAGTGCTCTGTGACTGTGCTGTTGTTACCCTGACCAGGAAAGCTCCTGGAGACTGCGATGGCTCTATTCCTCACACTTTTAATACTCTTGCTAATGTCTTCCAAATCCTCTTCAGCTAATTGTGCATGCATCAGAGCAGTCCTATGGATTTCAGTGGAACTGCTCCGGGGGAAGAGGGCTCTAATTCTTCCTTGTGCTATCAAAAGTATATAAAACTTGTCCCTATCCTTTGCCCTTTTCATTCAAAACTAGCTTTATTTGAAATTCGATCAGGTTGTTGTTGTTGTTTTTTTTAAAAGTTCCATTGCCAACTGCTGTATCACCTTCATGTCAGGAGGTGGATTTCTGGCAGGGTCAGTTTTTCCCAAAATGGTGTTCCAGCAACCTAGAAGCCTGGAATAGCTTCTGCACCTCGGAGTGATCCCTCCCCCATTTCATTCAGAGCCCTCTTCTCCTGCATAATGTCATTCTGTGCCTTCTGCTGCCCTTTAACTTCCCCCTACCCAAGTCTTTGCTTCTTCTCCGATAAGCCCTGTCTTCTCCTCCTTTACACTTTCTGCCGCATTTCTATATAGCTTAAATCAGGCATAGGCAAACTCAGCCCTCCAGATGTTTCGGGACTACAGCTCCCATCATCCCTAGCTAACAGGACCAGTGGTCAGAGATGATGGGAATTGTAGTCCCAAAACATCTGGAGGGCCGAGTTTGCCTATGCCTGGCTTACAATGTAAAAGTCACACCTCCCTCTGCAAAGTCACAAGGTAGCCATCTGTGGTTGTTGCATCCAGAGTTGCTTACCATGCAAATTACCACTGATATGTGGACAGTTTTTATGCCAGGGATGTGTTGCCTGCGGCCTTCCAGATGTTGGAGGATTTCAGCTTCCGTCATTCCTGGCCACGGTGTTAAGACCCCAAACAAGGTTTGGGTGATAAGACCCCAAACAAGGTCTTGTAGGGGAATCTTGGCTCTTTGCCATTGCGAGCTGCCACCAGGAATGGCCACCCACACATGTCACTGTGTGTTGGGGGCAGATCTATGCAGCAAACTGCTCTTGACATTGCAGCTGTAGTGCAGAACGCTACAAGGGGCGAGTGTCATGGGTCTTACTATATCAACTTGTTTGCAGTTAAGTTGACCTGCCCTTGCTGAAGTCTGTAGTGGCTTGGGCACTTCAGGGGCTGTAACATACACTGAAGCTGACTGAAACCTCAAGCGGTTTATTTTCATTCCACGGTTCACCCAACACACTGGAGTCTTGCATGATAAGAACTAGTTTGCTTCCTGTTATGTTTGTTTGCTGTGCTTCAAAGGCTCCTGTTAGACCAACAGAGACATTCCAACGCAGTGGAAGTCTTCCTATCTACTTGAGAGAAGCCTGAATTTCACCCTTGCAGGTTCAAACAGCTACTCAGCTGAAATAAGGTGTCTTTCTCCAGTACTAATCCCAAAATAGGTGGCTTTACAAAGTCTCAGGTTACTACCCTTTCCATGCTGGCCAGAGGGAGTTAGCAGTGCTGAACAGAAGTGCATCTTGCTTTTGAGTAAACATGCACGAACTTGTGCTGTATGGTTATAATAATGACTGGTTTAACTTTTCTGATATATTCATTTTTTAAAATCTTTTCCGTTTCTGCTGGTGTTTCCTCAGATGAGCTGCCCCCAAGGAGCCTTGACTCCAGCCAGGAGGTGTTCCGGTCCGGTTTCCAAATGTGTGCCAAAGAAGTGCTGCAGTACGTGGCCAAACACGAGAACAGCAAGGAGCTGAAATCCTCCCAGCTCATCGGCCACCTGCACAGAATGGCCTCCGAGGTTCTTCAGGGTGGAGCCAGCAGAAAGCCTGGCGATGCTGCCCCTAAACTTACGGAACTGAAGGAGAAGTCTGGCGCTCTGACCAAAGCTGCCGAGGCTCATGGGAAAAACTGTGTGCCTGTGATTCAGAGGACTTTCGCCCACTCTAGCGGAGAGCAGAGTGGCAGCGACACAGACACAGACAGTGGATATGGGGGAGAGCTGGAGAAAAGTGACTCCAAATCCGACCAGCAATATTTTAAAAAGGACGCTGAGCTCAAGTATGCTGTCCAGGAGAGAATCAGCTCTATCAAACAAGAGACTGAGGACCCGCCAGCCAAAAGAACCAGGATGGAAATGTTGGAGGACGAAGATCATTTTAGCAGCGATGTGCTCGGCTCTCCAAGCAGTTTCTTGGGCCCTCACCCTCACCCTCACCAGCCTCCTCTGTGCCTGCCTTTCTATTTGATTCCACCCTCAGCGACAGCCTACCTGCCTATGCTGGAGAAGTGTTGGTACCCGGCCTCTATGCCTCTCTTGTATCCAGGCCTCCAAGCCTCCACTGCAGCACTTTCGGGGTTAATGAACCCAGATAAGATTTCTTCTCCTTTACTAATGCCTCAGCAACTCCCTTCTCCAGGACCATCCCACTCCCCCATGGACTCTACTGCTCTGCTTCAGGCTTTGAAGCAGATGTCTCCTTTGAATTTGGAAACCAAAGACTAAACTTGGAGTGACTTTTCCTTGAGATTTCTCTCTCTCCCCACCCCCCCTTGCTGGTTGAGTTTGTGATTATTTCAGGGCACTGAGGGGAGTGGAGAGATCGTTGATCATTTATATGTAGAGAAGCTGAGTCATCCCTTGCTTTGACTGCTCAGAGAATTTAGGAAAGACCTCAGAGATGAACCCAAATTAGTTATGGGAAGGAGAGAGTTCTTGCTGCTTCTCCTCACCCCTTAAATGTGTTGATGGGTTTTTGTTTGTATGTTTTCCTTTCTGCCATCTGCCAAGAAAGACCTGAATTGGTTGGCTAGGATTATGTTTTAAAGCTGTGAATGAAACCTAAAAAAATTAGGTGGATTTAGACTCTTGTGAATATTACAAAAAAAGTGGTACTTCTCATGAGGACTTTGCTTAGTAAAAGAGCTGGATTCAAACAGAGAAGCTTCCCCTCTTCCTGCTGCTGCCAATATTCAAAACCTTTTAACTTAACACTCACAAACACACATTACATATATAACAATTCAAGCATTGGGATCAGCCCTGCTTTTAGTAGTCACTGGCTGGCAGAGCACAGTAAGCAATTCAGGGAGATTTTGAGACTGGATTCTCATCACATTTCTCCTGAATTGCATACGTCATTTTCCTTTTAGATTCTGCCTGGAAATTTTGTCCAGCTTGAGCTTTCGGATAGGGATGGTGACAAGAGAGAGAACATCCTTGAGGAGCGTTCTATGCCTCCTTGTATCTCACACTAGGCATTGCTTCTCATAACTGCTAGATAGGAATGTCTGGGACTTGTCCACAAGAAGTGGACAGACAAACCATGCTGTGGCACGGTTCAGCTCTGGCAAACAAAAAATAAAATAAAACCAGATCAGACTGGTAGTTTTACAAGGGAGCTGCCTGCCACTAGCTGTTTTACTATGGATCCTGTTACGTTGCAAGGATGTCAGCAGCGTGATATTCTCTGAAGTCCATTCTCAGTTTGCCCCCCGTCCTTGAACGCGACAAGATGTGGCTGTTATGTAAGGGAGTTTCATGCCCATAGCAGGGTTTGTAACTTTCTTCTTCCAGGTACCAATGTAAACAGAATATGGAATGTTACAATTTCTAAGATGAAGGCCTTACTCAGATAGCCCTTGCCGTCTGTGGTAGCAGAACTGGCAATGCTAAGCACTTCTCTGAAACCCATAAGGTTTTTTGTTTCTTTGTCCTGTTCCCCCTCCACCTGAGCAATACCTAATTCACCGGGTGTGGAATATATGGCACTTTTGCACTAAAGCAAGAGGCAGGCTTGTGATCCTGGTCTAGGCTGGGCAGGTACAGGTGGAAAGGATCCAAAAGTGAAAATAACACACCCAACCAAATAAATCTTCTCCCCTGCCCTCACTAGTTTGTATTAGAGCACATTTTAAATCGAAGAAACAGACAATGATTGTTGGAGGGATTCCCCTCCAGCATCTGCTGCCTGAAGCTACTCTCTTACGTTGCATCCTCCTAAGGCTGGACCTTGATGATAGTTTAAGAACTGCAGGAAGTGGATGAGCAATGCTCTCTGCAAAAGAAAAGCAGGTCTCTTGCCCAGGTGGCAATGTCAGTGTTGGCCATGAGTGCTCTTGATGGAGACGACCAGATGTGCTGTTTTGGTGTGTCCTAACCCTAGTTCTACAGCCTCTGCCCCGCTCCCCTGGAACTGATTGTGTCTGGCATGGGCTGTGAAGTTTGCACAACTGGATTGCCATATTCACTGCTGGAGTTCCGCAGTGGAAGATGTTCCCTTTTCCCCCCGGGACGCTTTCCTGTGCTCATAGTTGTGTGCTGCCGCACCAAACCAAATAGTGTGAGAAACCATCATCTAGATGGAGCAGATTCTGCACTGGTGAATACTCCCATTTGATTTCGGCTACTTAAAACAGTAATAATAATCCATGTCATATGGTGGTGTCATCTGAGTAGTTCTGAGACATTCATAGAGCTCTGTGGTCCTACGAATTCTCCTTACACTATTGCACCAACTGCTAGAATGCACTATGCTGAATTGCAGATCGTATTTGACCATTTATTTTATTGTCTGTTTTCAAAAAAAGTTTTTTTTTTGTACACAGTTGTTGCCTTTATTTGTAAAATCTGTTATAAATATAAATGTGTACATATAAATATATATTATATGGATATGTAAAAAAAATGTTTCAGAAGTCTATTATTTGTAAAACTACTTGAGTACAAAGAAAGTGGGAAATATGAATGTATTCCTGTTTTTCTTTTTATTGAGGAGAATGATCCATTCATCCTCTAGGGAGAGGTAGAGTGTTTATATTTTTGGAACCTTCCTGAACGTGGGGATATTGTAAATATTTTTATCAGAGTAAATGTTACGTAGTTGTTTTAAAAAAATACTAAATAAAATTCTTTTTCCTGTGGAACATGAGCACTGCTTCTCTTTGTGTTTGAGGAATCCTTTGGTTGTCATAATAAAATACTGTCTGTGCCATCAACTGTATCCAGGTATGAATGTTATGCAAAAGGGGTGGGGAACCTGCCCTCCCCCCGGTGCTGTTGGACTACAACTTCCATCATGCTTGGCCATTGGATACACTGGCAGGGGATGATGGGAGCTGGAATCCTGGAGGGCCACAGGTTCCCTATCCCTGTTGTACAGAAGCAGGCAACATGATCATGAATCCAAATTAAGGTTGGAATTTTGGGTGGAAGTTGACTTAGCATTATCTAGTTCATTGGGACAAGAGGCCTGCTGAGACAGCAACTGCAAAGATGAGATATTAGGGTCCAAATGGTGGCACACGGGAAATTGGGGCCAGCCCTACCATTGGGCAGAATAAGAGAGCCACTTCAGGCAGCTGATTTGGGGTATCACGAAAGGGCAGCAAATCATTAGTTATTCCAGTTCATTACAATTGTTACATTTCACTGAGTGTGGGATTTTCTGTCTCAGGTGCTAAAAATAACTTGATTTGACTTGAGGGAGGGGGTGCCCTTTGCTTCTCTACTTCAGCCACCAAAATGCCTTTCCCTGACTGAAATTGCTCGTCTTCTCATTGTGCTTGGCCTAAGACTCAAGTAGCTGCTTATATAGTGCCACCACAGCCCCCAAGTAAGGGAGGTTATGCAAGGCGGCCCACTTGAACTCTATTCTGTGGTTGGTTGGTTTTTTGCTAAACAAGACGTAGAGAAAGCATCACTACTGGAGAAGACAGAAGTAGCTTTCTCTCTCTTGTTGTTGTTGTTTAGTCGTTCAGTCATGTCCGACTCTTCGTGACCCCATGGACCAGAGCATGCCAGGCACTCCTGTCTTCCACTGCCAAATACCACTGCTTGCACAGAAAGCAGTCACTGAAGCCATTCCAAAGGCTTCAGACTGCCCATCGGCTTTTAGGAGGCTGTTTGTCCTATTTTCCGGGGGGCGGCGGGCGGGGCAGACAACTCCTTTGTTTGAAGGCGACCTCTAAACTGAAGGGTTGCCTGGTCTGAATTTGGTTTAAAGAGAAAGGGCAATAAGAAGGGAGACCATCAAGGGCCTTGGAAGTTGCCCACCAACAGTTGTCTAACACTTGGACCAAGTAGGTGCACATGTCACCCGACTGCAGTCTTCCCCACAATGGTGGAATGTGTTTCTATTTAAATTGAATTAATTCCTTCTAAATTTGCATCCACACATATAAATTAGCTTATGCAGACTCGATGCACACCTGTGTCCTCTTTTGGTGATACATTTACCCCCCTTTTTTTTGGCAAGGTGCAAGCAGCTACTGTCGTTGGCTACCCTCTTTTAAGTTCTCTCAGTACGGACACCATTCACTGAGTTTTTTTATTTAAGATATTTAGAGGGTAAGAAGGTTGTGGGAAATTAGCAAGTCTGAAATATAATAATAATAATAATAATAATAATAATAATAATAATAATATCATCAAACTAACAATTTACAGAGCAATCCATCAATTAAGCTCCACCTGAAATTCGGCAGAGAGAAAGAGTTCTTATCTCTTCAGGCAGGGAGTTCCAGAGCCTGGGGAAATAGTGGTAAAGGCCCTGATCCTATCTGCTACCACTTTTGTCCAATGCAGTGATGTAATAGTAGCACCTGCTGACTCCACTATAATAGGTGCTTGAACCAATTATATATACATATATACACACAGAGAGAGGGAGATACACCCACAATTCCCTGGCCATAAACTGCTTTAAATGTCAATATGAGTACCTAGAATTGGTCCCACAGGCAAATATGCCCATCAGGGATGGGGAACCTGTGGCCCTGACAGTGGTGGACTGCAGCTACCATCTTCCCTGATCATTAGTCATGCTGGTAGGAGCTGGCAGGAGATTGAGTGCAACAACAGCTGGGGATCTACAGGTACCTGATGACTGGCTTAGGATGAGGTGGTTCAGCCACCTTCCGTTCCCATTGCCAAGGGCCAGTTCATGACACTACACCAGCCTAGGTTGGTGTCTCCACTCCTCCTTCTCCCACTCTCCCTGTCACATGGCTGTATCTATGGCGACTTCTACCCGCTCTCATTTCCAGTTGTCCAACGAAATCAAAGAGTTGCGATCCCTTCTAACTTGCCCCTAATCAGACAGAGAGAGGATGGGAAAGGTCATATGGAATAGCTTTAGACTTTGGCAACCTTTATGCCCAAATGGTAGAATTCGATAGTATAGCTTGAAAAAATGGTGAAGTTTGCTGTTTATTTTATAATTAATTATATTTATTGCCCTCCCTGCCACCCTAAGTTCTACACATCTACACTGTGCTTCCTTGGTGGCCAGTTGATCTTCACAGATACATCCATTACTCACGGCTGGTGCACTGCCATACTGAACACCCCGTGTCTTTTTCATGCAAGGCACCGTGCAGACTTCAGCATCACAACTCTAGTCCTTGCTGCTCCTTTGTAATTTATACCACCATGTACTTGAAATAAATGAGAAATTTTATTTTATTTATTTATTTATTTAAACGCACTGTTGGGCTTGGCCTGAAGTAGATGCCTGGCACGTGTTCCTGCTCAGGGGGTAGCCATGCCTATTACCCAGGTCACCATGAGTTTTGCTGCATGCTGCAACACGCTGCCTGGGTGTAGCTGGTGCACACCTCTCTAAGTGGAGGGATCTTGCTGGTTGCACCAGATTAATCTTGGCTCCAGGTCCCTGCGCTGTTTAATTCTTCCTGGAAAACACCAGGTCTGTCTGTTTGGCAATGTTCCTCTTAAAAGTTACAGTTTGAACAATAAACCCATTTCATAGGGTGATTTCCACCCCCGTTCTTGGTTTCCGCAAATACGTCGCTATTTTCTGTTAAATCGTTCTTGAAATCACACTCCAGAGATGCCCAGTTTGTCAGCACTGCCATTTGCTGATGTTGGCCACCGTCCAGAAGACAAGTTGTCATCCCTGGTGGTGTTTTTTGGCATGTTTCTTGAACAGCAACCCCCGCAACCCTGTGCCACATCATCAGCTTGCCTACAATTCCATGGGGAAGTAGTTTGTGACACAACACATGCGATGGTTGGGGTACGTGCATGTGTGAAGAAGCAGTCAAAAGTCATGCTGATCATGCATACAGCATTGGGTGGGCCTAACATAGCTATCTGGGGGTGAGACTAACATTGTGCTTTCCGAGTTCTATAAATATCAAACTTTGCCGTTTCTAAAAACAAGCCCCAAAACTTCAAAATTCAAAAATGCTTAGCTTCAAACCCATTTGAAATATTTCATGAAATTACACTTACAGTGGTACCTCGGGTTACATACACTTCAGGTTACAGACGCTTCAGGTTACAGACTCCGTTAACCCAGAAATATTACCTCGGGTTAAGAACTTTGCTTCAGGATGAGAACAGAAATCATGCTCTGGCGGCACGGCAGCAGCAGGAGGCCCCATTAGCTGAAGTGGTGCTTCAGGTTAAGAACAGTTTCAGGTTAAGTACGGACCTCTGGAATGAATTAAGTACTTAACCTGAGGTACCACTGTATCACAATTATCTGGAAGTAAGCCTTCCTGAAAAGAACAAAACCAAGTATTCATAGAACTGCAATATTAGTCTTGTTTCTCTGTTTTCGCTTAATGCTGTTATAATAAACTTGTGAGACTGCCTGTGGAATTGGGACCATAGTTGATGATGTTGTTGCTACCTCAATCACTCGTTCATCAGGAGCAGAATCTTATGTATATGCACCTGAACATAAATCTCATTGCAGTCTTTGGGACTTCTGAATAATCGTGCTTATGAGTGAACTAACTTGCAATGTAACCCAGTTCACATTTACCTGGGAGGAAGTCTCATCGATCAAGGTGGTAGAGTGGTGATGGTGAACTTGTAGCCCGTCAGATGCTGTTGTACTGTCACTGGTCCCAGCCAAATGGCCAATTGTAAAGTAGGGCTGCCATACACAGTGGCGTAGCGTGGGGGGTGCAGGGGGGGCCAGCCGCACCGGGCGCAACATCTGGGGGGGGCGCACTCGCACTCGCAGCTCTCTGCCCCTACCTGGCTCACTCACTCTCTCTCACTGCAGTGCTGGCTGTGCGAATCCGATCTGAGCCGCTGGGTCGCCGCCCACTGTGGAGGGGGTGGGTGCCAGGCGTGCGGTGCGGAGAGAGAGCGAGGGACTATCTGGGGGAGGGACAGTGCAGCGGCCGCCCAGCGCAGCGCTGAGCGTGGGAGAGAACCACACCAGACCAGACCAGGCAGCAGCAAGAAGAAGCTGGCAGCGGCAGCAGGTTAGGGGTTAGGGGGCGCAAATTACTTGCCTTGCCCCGGGTGCTGACAACCCACGCTACGCTGCTGGCCATACATCCAGATATTACTGGGATTTCAAGGGTGGAATTGATGTCTGGGGGAGGGGTGGATTTCTGAAAGGTGGCGCTTTGTCCTGGATCTTAGGCAGCTCAATCAAATAACCATGGGTTCAACAATTTCAATTTGGGCGGTTTCCTATAAAAAGTCAAAAAAACTGTCAACATCTTTTGGGGCATCCTAGGAGTTGCAGTCCAGCAACAGACTGGGGGTCAAAAGTCTTGCTGTATAGGACTGCACTATTAATTAATTATACATGCAGGACAGGTGGCATGGGCAACCAGGCTTTGGGGCATACTTACACCAAAGCAGGGCACACTTAGGTCTACACCACTGCATTTCCATGCAGCACGGTGCTGTTGCTATGCTGCTGCTGTTACTGCTGGCTTCCTCATTCAGTAAAACTTGAGCTGGCCTGCACAACAAATCCCCCAGCAAGCTGAAGCAAGCTGCAAACGAGCTCTGCTTTACGGCAACTTAATCACTCCTTTGTGCCAACAACCAAGGAGGCAAATCGGTGGAAGGGTTTCCATTGTTCCAAAGAGCTTCCTAAACGATGGAATTCTATTGTGCAGTAGTGACTGAAAGAACAATCTGTGATAATTCA